CTTCTTCCGGCTCTCCCGCCCGGGCTGGGGCTGTTTTCTCCCCAAGGCGCGCAGAACTGCTGCTGTCTTCGCTCCCTGCGGGTCGGAGCGCCTCGGCCCCCGCCTCTGTCGGTCCTGGGCTCGCGGCACACCTTGATCTAGGAGAGGAACAACAGGCCCTCGAGCTCGGGTCGTATTCCCCACTTCACCCAGACTCTTGCGGTCAAGTCTTAATTTGCCCCACTTCTAAGCGGGGTAAAGAAAAACTAACCTCACAGGTGTTCGCGAATTCAGGGAGAGAACTAATATGTGTGAGAAGCGTTTAAAACCAACAGGTAACATTTAATAAGACTGAGGAGCTTGGTAGGACGCTCACAACGTTTAACGCTCACAACGGCTTCCTAGAATTGCCTCCATTTACAAAAGCCGAAATCAAGGTGCAAAGAGGTTAAATAATTTGCTCCAACTCGCAGTAGCCAAAGAAGTGCAAAGAAATGATTATTTATATTTTATATTTATGTTTTCTGGTGTACGTGTCATCACTTAGCCTAGGGAGTGTTTTGATTTACCTTTAGGTAACATTTTCCTGTTTAGTTAGAGACTCCGTGTTCTCCTTGACTCCTGGGCCAATGTCCACTGTTTTTTTTTTTTTGTTGGGGGGTACTGGGTATGGAACTCGGGGCCTTGGGCTTGCGAGGCAGGCGGTCCGGCCCTGTTGCTACCAGGGCTCCAAGGGAAAGGAAGTTCGGACGAATTTCTTGCTGGTATTTCCCGTAGAGGTTGATGAATGCAGGAGACTCCATATCTGAAACACAACTGAAATTCTCTGGCCTTTGGCCCAAGGAGCTCTTAATTATAAACAGCGAAATTGATCCTGCATTTTGTTCATAGCATGTTCCTCCTCCAATCCTTGAATGTTCTCTTCGCTGTTTTTTGTATTTGGGGAGGGGGAGAAGGCAAAGTATAGCCCAGGTTATCTGCTTCTACTTGGTACTTGCAAATAGTTTTTATTTTTCCTATTTTCAGATAAGGCCCAGAGGGGTTAAAGTAAACTAAAATGAACTTTACCACTCTTTCAGTGTGTTTGGTCCTGGTTCTGAGGAATGTCTAAAAATCAGAGTTCTTCAGCCAGGTCTTGGGGAGTCTGCTAATGTTTGCATTAACTGTTTAGAGCTGGTAGGTCTGCTCTTGCTCTCTCCACCTTCCAAGATTCTAGATTTATATTTATAAGTGGTGGCATATAGGAGGTTGAAAGGGTTTTACCAACTATCTCGTTCCAACTTTAGTATCTGCCTTCCCTCTCTTTCCTATTGACTGAACCTTGGAAAGGGAAATAAGTTGTCAAATTCACGGACTGCTTAGTGTCAGGAGTTAGAACAGAAATTCCCAGTCTTCTTCCAGTCTTGTAATTTTTATTTCTCCCATATCTTGCCACCTCTTAAAATGGCACTAAACCACTTAGGCCTTAAGATTGGGACTCCTCAATAATTGGAAATCTCAAGGAGGTTGTATCGTCCCAGCCACTTCCTGTGGCTTATAATTTACAGTACTCTGTAACCATTATCTGATTTTTAATCTAGTTGTGTCGGGGAGTTTGCAGAGCTTAGGGCTTGGCTTATGTCTCACTTTTTTTTTAAACTATATGGCAGTGGAAACAGCAAGGTTAGGGCTGATGGCCCTAAGGTATGATGCCTTCCATCATAGAACTAATAAGTGTAGAGTACAAGATGGCTCATGGGTAGAGGATTCGATGTGGCATCATGAACTGAGCTATTCAATGTGGACTTTTGGGCCTCATTTTCCTTATCTGAAATCTCTCACAGGGCTGTTGTGGGGACAGTGAGAAAAGTGCATTTTTGTAGTACAAATGCCCAGTGTGTATTATTAAGCGCTTAACATGTACCATCAGTCACTGGAATAAGGACTTTCAATGGAATATGTCATTTAACTCAGAGCAACCTATTAATTATCATTATAGAAGAAGAAACAGACTTAGAGAAGTTGTGTGACTTGTTTGTTACATAGCCAAACCAGGATTCAAACAGCAGACAGCATAACTTTAAAACTAGTGTGCTTTTAAAAATTGTGGCGTTTTATATACATACATTTCATTTATTAACTTTTTAAGTGTACAGTTAATGTGGCATTAAGTGCGTTCACAGTGTTACACATCCATCACTGCCATTTATCTCTAGATCTCCCAGTAAATCTCCTTCCCTTTCCTTTTATCCCCTGGCAACTGCCATTCTAATTTCTCTCTGTGAATTTGTCTACTTTAGGAATCTCACATACATGAAATCATACAATATTTGGCTTTTTGTGACTGACAAAGCTGGCACTCAGTGCCTTCATCTCAGAGTACTCTGTAAATGCAAACTGATTTGTTGTCATCTGCAGTAGGGTGTGGCAAGAAGCCCCAGAGCATGAATCTAGGCTTGGTTCTGTCTCTGAAAGCTTTCTCTTTTCCCCCTTTTGTGGATTGAAGTTTCTTATTGCTGAAGCCTTTTCTGGATTTGTAGTAGCTCCCAATTATATCCTCAGAGGAGACCTCCTACTTTTGAAATAGACACTAGACAGCTCCCCCACTTTGCCTTGTTTGTTTGCACCTGCCTTTCTGACCAGCGTTTGAGCATATGGGGCTGCGGTGATCAGGAATAGCAGTGCTGTGACAGCAGCTTGGATCATACTACAGCGGCTGGTTAAGTGGATTAACTTTATGACACACTCCTCTGTGTCTCCTTTCCATAAAGTTACACAGGAAGGATTAACATTTAGGTTCTTAGAGGGTATTTATCAATTCTCACTGCTTGTGAGGATATAGGATAGAGTTAGATGGTGTACTTAGCCTTTCAAAGTTCTCTTTGGTTTGACTGTTTCTTTGTCTGGGTGTTTGGGGTGGGTGGGATGTGTATGTTCATGAAAGGTTGGATTTTGTCACATGCCAACTGGGTTGCAGATAGGAAATGTTCTAGAGATGGGGACTGTACCTTATCTCTAGAACATTCCCTACCCTCGTTCATGTTCATGTCCATGTCCATGTCCCTGTCCATGCTTTCCTTAAAATTCTGATGGCCCACATTGCCTACCACTGAAGTCCAAACCACTGAAGTCAGGGTGTTGAATTGTTTATTAGGTAGAATCTTATAGTTGAAGGGCCATAAAGTCATTTAGACAACCTGGCCAACATTTGAATTGACTGCTTGTTGAGATTGTTTCATTGGACACCTCATTCATTATTGGAAGGTATTCCATTCACTGAATAATTTATTTTTATTTTTTGTAAAAATGTTGGTACATTTATTTTATTATATTTTCCCCCCGTTAAGTTTATTGGTACATTTAAAGCAAACAATACAGTTATATTTATCATCGTGATCTTGTACCTTTACATGGTTATGACTTGGTTCTTATTTTTTCCCCATACCCCTGCTCACTGAACAGTTAAAAACCATCCGTCAGCATGTACTAGGCTTGGGAATTTGGATGCATACCGCCTACACTTGATTTTAGCCAAAAGGCTGAGAAGTGATTGGATGCATACAGCCTAGTGGGGAAGACAGGTAAGGAAACAGCCACATGAGAAGTACTGTGACAAAGACAAGCACCATTAAATCATGGAAGAATGGCATCTGACTTAGCATTGGAGGGTTAGGGAAAGCTTCCTTGGAGAAGTTGACCAAGCCTAGACCTTAAGAAAAATTAGACATAGGCCAGGAAAAGAAGCAGCAGGAAAGAGGCATTGTTGAGACTGTTCTTGGCAGAAGAAACTATACAAGTCTGGGGTGGTGATGTTAGGTGAGACCTTTGGTCATTTACTGTATCTGTCAGGTACTAGTCTAAGCATTTAAAATGTAATAACTCATTTTTTCTTATAACCACTCTGATAGGTAGGTGCAGTTGTTTTCATCCTGTAGGTAAGGAAATAGGCCCAGAGGGGTTAAATAAATTTCTCAAGATTTACTGGGTGAAGCATGAAGCATCAGTGAGAGTGGGTGTGGTAAGGGAGAAGACTGGCAAGGTAAGCAAAGATCCAATCACCAAAGAACTTTGTTGCTCCTGTGGAAGACTTCAGACTATATCCCAAGGGAAGGATGTCTTACAAGGATATCTCTGGCTGTCTGTTTTGGCAGTGGACCAAGAGCTAGAGAGAGCATCATGGGTGGAGCCCAGTTAGGCTAGTGGAGTAATTCAGGCCTGAGGTGATGGGTTTTGTATGAAGGTTATGGTAGTGTGTGTGTATATGTAGGAAACAGTGGGATTGAGTGATAAGACAATCAAATGTTTGTTGGTGTGGAGGGTAAGGAAGGACTCAAGCTGGCTGACATCTAAGTTTCTGCCTGGTGCAATTGTGTAGGTGGGAATACAGGACAAAGGAGCACATAAAGAAAGGGAGAGGGTTTCTCATGCCAGGTCTTCTCCATCTGCTTTCATTTACTTCTAGTTACAGATCTCTGGACTCTGT